GAATCGAGTCGGTCAACCACGCAGCAATGAGACCTGGGCAGCGAAGAGAACCCTTTTCGCTGCCGCGGCGATCTGCTTCCCGAATCAGACCGGATGTTTTTGTGCTCGGGAACTCCACCGCGCTCGGAGAAGGAGCACCGGGCCACTGGGCCAAACATAATGACCAGTCAGTCGTACACGAGCTCTTGCTTCTGCCATTCGAGCGGTATGATTCTTGCAGATTGAAATTTCCATCCCACAGAGCTCTGTGACGCGTTCTTGGACCTTCGAGATGACGCCTCGCCGATCGCTCGTTTGTGTAAATTCGCCCGATCGATGATATTGTATGCCATCACATATCTAACTGACCGAAGGAGGCATGATCCATAATCAACCGATGAGTTCCCAGCTGGATCCCGATCTTTTGGTACGCGAATCGAGAGATTCTACACGAAACAGGCGCGGAAAATCCAAAACCGAAATAAGGAAGTGAGGCTCGCATTGCAGAACTCGCCGCTGGACATGATGACGAAGTCCGCCAGATGCCATTTTCTCTCCGAAGGACCGAAGCAACGAAGATGGACGACGTTGAAATGACCTCGCAATATGAAATGTATGGACAGATGTAATCGGTGACCAGAGTTGAGAGTTAGATTATCGGGGACAAACAACGACATCAAAAAGAAGGTTCCAGCAGGCTGCTGTAGAATTCAAACGAGTCTACCACAATAGAGCGCCTCGGAACCGGGAGGTTTTTTCCCCGCGCAAACGGAGTAGGACAGTGACTGGGACGAGGATTCATACATTTTGAATACATGCTTTCATAAACGGCGATTTTCACACGTATGAACATCGGCTGCGAAATTTCGTCATCCTGGAACGCGGCATGCAACGACGATTCCTAGGTTCACGCTGCTTGTTGATCGCGATTCCAATCCCACGGTATGTTTGTAAAACGATCCGTGTTGTAACCAACAACCCCTACACCGGTCGCAGTGAGCCACTGCGAAAGACGCCTGCATTGTTTTCGCAATGGTCAAGTGGTCGCATTCTGTTTCAAATCTGGCCGTACATATTTCCCACAACGGGACAGCGCAACCAATGCGACTGGTGCAACAGTCCCGGTCCAATTCAGCTCGGTGGCTAACTAGCCGGTCAGTTAGCCGACTACATCATCCCGACCACAGTTGGTGTTGTTGCCGTCGTCGATGTTCTGGTCGCGATCCGCACCCGAAGGCTCGGATCCGCATCCCAGACAGATTTCGACACCGCATTCCCCGCCTGGTTACAAAACCAACACTTGCGTCACCGTCGGCCCAAATATTTACTCCGCACGCTCGAGCAAATTTCACGACGAGCCCGGATCGAGCTTCCATAGTAATAATTAGCGGCCTCACCTCGTTTGACCTCGCCGTCGCGCTTTGCACCGATCGCAAATCGCCGGCCGCCCCGTACGGTCCCGCGGCGGCTGTCGTGCCCGATGAGGAACGATGTGTCTCCGCACGGAGCGCCCGCAGGGCCAATCAATATCTTCGCTTACAGGTCGGAGGGAGTGCGACCGTGAGCTTCGATCGCAACCCCTACAGTGACTTTCAGGCCTATATCTCTGATTCCTAGAGCACGGCGTGAAAACCCCATGTTTGCAGGTGCATGATTCACAGTACGTCAAACCTCTAGAGCTCCCCCACTGCAAGGAACCATCACAACCGTCAACATCTTCGCGCTGCTGGCGCTTCACTCCCAGCGCGACGACCTTCTGATGATGGGTCGTATTGACACAACGGTCATCTGTCACGAATACATAGATTCCTTCAACGTATCGGTCTTAGCGTCTACGCTCCGCCCGAAAACCCGTTGCAAGCCCAGAAGCATACGGCAGAACGCATCCCTGTCGAAAAGTTGTTGGAGGGTCGAAAGTCTGGACCGAGGGGAACCGGAAATCGGATCGATCCAGGGAACGAATTCACCGATTTTAAAGGCTGGTTTGCAGCCTTCAGTCCAACTCAGAGTCCATCCGGCCCGACTCGCGTTTTCCACGGCTCATGGTATCGGGGAAGAAGCTCGTCGGCAACCGGAACAGTCTGAGGATACTCATTCATTTGTATGAGGGAAAGTTCCTTAGTCTCGGGGCATCATGGAACACATGTCCGCCGAATATCAGCAGGTATTGGGCTGTCGAGTGAAACTGCACGATCACATGCTGGCTGATACTAACGGTGATGAAGAGAAGGCCAATCAAATTCGGTAGAAACGCTTCCTCGCGAGACTGCGGGTCGCCGCAACAGTTACGGGAAAACCAAGGCGGGCCAAGAAATCATTCTTGGATTCGAGGAGTCGTCAAATGTGAGCTCGACCGGCCACCTGTGCTTTGTTCTCGGGATGAAAACCTTACGGGCAACGGAGAAAATTGTGGTCTCTCGATTCGAGCGCTCGTCGACCTTGCGTATCCCATATTCGAGATCAGGGTTAATTTGCGACAGTCGTTTTTGCAGCGTGAGCAAATCAAGAATGCACGCCGATTCTCCGGGGCTGACTTTTGATCGATGACGTCCACGAGACGCTGAGGTGCTGCGGCAGAGCATGTACGAATTTTGGTTCTGAGGGTATCATTCGGAAGTCAAGAAAGGGGCTGAGACTCTTAATTCTGTTACCCCTTCCCTTTGGGTCGTAGCTCCGTCAACGACCGAAACGTGCTTCAATGCCGCGCGCTTTACGACAGTATGTCCTGCTGGGTCTCGCGTGGACACAGCGAGAGGTATTCGCTCGATTCGTAGAAAGCGTCCGATACACCGCTGTGAAGAATTCTTTCCTGACAAGATTCTTCAATGACCGAGATGACACGTTTTTTTTCTCTAACTTACGTCTCCATACTCTCGTTAGGACATTGGAATGGAGGGCCGCCGCTCAACCTGTTCGCTACGTTCGAGGCTCGAGATCCTCGAATTTCGATCTCGAAGCTCGAGATCTCGAGGTTCTCAATCTCAAAGCTCAAGATCCACGGGCTTCCAATGGCGCGCGACGCTGAAAACCCACGGGTGGATTGCGAACTTGCATCATCTCCGACGAAGTCGCAGGACTCCTCGTCCGGGATCGGTGTCTGCGACTTCACGAGTATATGTCGGAGTCGAGGTTCCCGTACCCGTCGGCCCAGGCCGCGGTAGCGCCAAGTCCTAATGATCGGAGGCCATAACGCTCGGGGAACGTTGCGTAAAAGGCCCCGCTGAGAGTCAATCATCGTTCGATGTACGAGCCGGAGACCAGCGGCATCTGCTTAAACTTCCGCGCACCCGCTCTAATTTCATCGTGAATGTCGATGCCGGCGTTGTCGTTATGGCCAGTCCGAAGGTGACCTTCTGGCGAGCTGCCCCGAAGACCGGACCGACGGAGCGACCGGCCGGCCCAACCTGAGTCTTCGCTGGACCAAAGGAGCCTCTCATACAATGCACAGGTACTGGTGGATGTCAGCGCGAGCGTACAAAGCAGGTCAATCCATCGGCCTCTTTTCAATCTTGAGACGAAGCCAGTCAGCCATCTAGTCCAAGGAACTGAGAAACGAAGCATACTAGGCAAAGGCGAACGGACAGCTCTGAACTCCCACGAGGGAAGCCAGAGAGACGCTCGGAGTGAATTTAGGACGTTGTATATATGTCAGCGTATCTGCAAGAATATACGAACTTCGGCAGAGGCTCGGTCTGCAACGCCCTTCTCACAACACTACGCATGCCGTGAGGGGTGGCAATCACTCTCATAAACAAACGCTGTTTATGTCTTGCAATTTCATGCAACTTCTCTCTGAGACTAACAAGCAAATCCTTTTGCGATGGACGTCTTGACCGGAGCCGATGACGACGATTCCACGGCTGTTTTCGCACAACGTGAGCTCACAACGAAGTAGCTCTCTGTTCGCTCGTCTCACGGTCCCGCCCCACCGCACGCCGAACACGTAGTCGACGACCGACTCTCCCGAGCGCCGGGAGGGAACGGCGGGCACCGTGTTCCCGCGCCGGATCTGGGAGCTCTCCGAACTCCCAGAGATTGCCTCCGCTCCTCGGAGCACCCCGAGCCCTACTCGCGATAGGTTTCGAGGCTGAAAATCGGAACTGTATGTCCATATACTTTCCCCGTCACGAAAAGTGCAAAAGATCGTATAATGCAGCCGAAAGCTCGAAGGTCAGTGCAACAGGTTGTTTCCTCTTTTGTATTCGGCACGCGACTGGGAAATGTACAAAAATATCCGCACAAATCCCGTTAGGTTCTATACAATATCCTACAATAGAGAAAATAGCCAAGGAATAGAATGAAGCACACTGCTCTCAAAATGCATGTCTGTAGATCATACAATGCGCCAAAACTCCGCGCTCCCAAGTCAGTCAGAGAGAACTCGGCGCGAGTTCGTCGCTAGAGTACCTGGGCCGAACACGAAAAAGAGGAGGAGCTCGCTACTGACGTCACAGGCCGCCGGCCCCACCTAGGATTTCGAGGTGCCTTTCTGGGTGAGGAGGCAGTTCTCTTTTATTGCGAGTCGCCGGACTCGGACCTTCACAACTAGACGGTTTTCCACTCGGAACACTAGACTCCAAGTGAAGTGCTCTAAATCGAACCCGAGTCCGACCAGCATGATGATGGCAAGGATGCAGATGCCCATGGGGCTGGTGGGGTCGATGCCCATGGGTTTCATGGGTCAGATGAGCTCCCAGATGGGAGGTTATCAGTCCCAATTCCAACAGTTTCAAGCCGCCGTGGCCAACCAGCAATCCGCGGCTCAATCGAATCTTCAGAGTTCCCAGACCACTGGCCAACACGTTCCCGTGCACTCGATGTTTGCCAACAACGCCGTTCCGACTCTGGATCAAGTCAATCAAAGCCCTGAGACCTTCATGGGTACCTCGGCTCCCGTACCAGTGCCCACCGAAGAATCCATCGGATCTCCAGAGTACGACGGTCCCGAAGACAGCGCTGCCATGCCCTCTCCGGGAGAAGGCGCCCGCCCGACACTGTCGAGCCAGTTCGTGGGCTCCTCCAGACGAGGACCCGATCACATCCGTCGTCCCATGAACGCTTTCATGGTGTGGTCTCGAGCTCAGAGGAGGAAAATTGCTCTCGACAACCCGAAGATGCACAACAGCGAAATTTCCCGACGCCTCGGCTCGGAGTGGAAGGGTCTCACCGAGGAGCAGAAGCGACCTTTCATCGACGAAGCCAAACGGCTCCGCGAACAGCACATGCGAGATCATCCCGAGTACAAATACCGTCCTCGGCGCAAACCGAAACCCGCGACGCCTGTCATGTCCTCAGCTGTCGCCGGAGATCTCATCAACAACAACAACAACCACCACCACAACAACAATAATAATCAACCGGGTTTCCCCAATGCGAACGAAATGAAGCCGGAAGTCATGTCACAGATGAGTTCCTACAATCCATTTGCTCTTCCGTATATGAACTACATCGGAAGCCAGCTGAGCAACTCGTCCCCGCAACCGGTCCGCTCTCCCGAATCCGCGTACTCGTCGTGTGATGATCTACCGAAGGAATCTTCGCTTTCGCCTCCTCCGGCGTCAAATAGCCAGGAGGGCCAGAAACCTTTCAAGGACTCACTGTACTCGCTGTACGCGCAGTCTGTGAATCCGATGGTGGGATCGTACCCGTCGATGGGTTACCTACCTTATTCCGGCTATTCTAACAGCTACGAGTATTCCTCCTAGACGAAGAGTTTGTTAGATTTTTAACGTTTACTTCACTTATAGCAATAAGGGTTGCTTCCTAAAGTGCGCAATACGACCCGGTTCCCTGTCTGCGTTGAGAGCGAAAGTCTGAGCGTTGCGCTATTCGAATTCATTTAGACACTCACTCAGAAAGAGCCCGAAGTCCTAGAGGAATGCAATGCAGCTGTGCGAATAGAAGTTAATTTAGAGGTTCAACTATTATTTCTACCAACACACATATAGGTAATCGAATCGTTAGCAACTGCTGGAGATTCTGGCATTTTATTTATTGTGTAATTCCCGGAACGAGAGATGCCCATCACAACGGAACGAACTGTCATGAAATCGAACTTATACATATATGTTTACTAATTCGACTGAATAAACTTTACCTGTCCAAACACAATATGCTTTTATTCTTTGTCCCACTCCTATTTGAGTTGACAGCGTGATCATTCGTGTAACCATTGAATCCGTACATTGTATCACGTATCGAGGAGGAGTCCGAAAAACGAGACCCCTCCTACATACCAACGTATCTAGAGCGTAGCGGGGAACGATTGAAATCGGTGCGTTGCATGAAATATTAAATAAAAAAATCCAGATTTCTGATTGTGAGCCACGACTCCGGATGTCAGAGCTCAGCAGCGCTGAAGGGTGTTCCCGAAGGCGAAGTCTCTCCATTTCTGTCCAGAAGCTCTCGCAGTTGGAGGTCGGAGGACGCGCGACCATCGGCATCATCGGCTAACCGAGAGCCGATTTCACAGAGAAAGATCTTCGCAATAATTCCGATATCCATGGAATCAATATCGACAGAGGCTGTCCGTGACAGGCTTTCTGCGTCAAGAGAAGCATTCTGCATAGATAAGCATGAGCGGAGGGTAGCGTGCTTCCTCGTTCGCGCGCTCTTCCGGTCGCTTGCTCATCAGCACGACTTACGACTCACTATCATCCGTTGCGTCGTCCCGCGCGCATCACGGCAAGCTGTATAACGACGGGAACTCCCTACGCAGCGCCATCTGTGGACAGCGCGATAAACGCGTTCAGTGTTGATACTTTGCGCTTAAGCAGCAGCGGCAACAACCACTACAGCCACGGCCACGGCAGACGGTTGTGCTGACAGAAATTGTGTGGTGCAAAACTTTCCGGCGTAGCGCAAAGGGAGCCGAATCGAGTGGGATTCGCGCTTTGGAAAGCCGATCTTCAAATTTTTTGCTGACTAGAAGTTCCTGAAAATCCTCTCGACTGTTTGCACCACAAAAAGATTCGACATATTTTAACAAGTGATTTAACATTTCGCGAGTGAAAAGAGACAACGGACGCACATAAAGAAAACAGCGACTTTCGCGAAGCGACCGTCGTGATCAACACGGCCCAAGGTTTCGGAGAATCCCGCCCTGTCCGCTACAGTGGCCGCAAAGCGGCGAACCGCAGTGTTCAGCTCCTCTGTACAGCTGAGGTAAGGCCGAAATTTTTTTTGAACAATTCGAATCAAGCTGCGACTACTTTGTAGAAGCTGCTCGCGCATATTCCATGCGCGCACTTACCGTGAACCCGCGCGGACGGTGCAGATCCGTTCGCGGAGAGATGTCATTAGTTCCATTTTCCTTTAGCGCTACATCTCGTTCAAGAAGGCCTCACCACACGGCTCTTGAGCAGGAAAATACGGTCGCTGTCTGTTGTCTTTGTCTACGATGGTGAGGCAAAAGGAGAACAGGCTTTAGAGCGGCGGATATTCCGCAAAAGTCGTCTCTTTGAAAATTTTCTGGTGCTCTAATATTGTTCGAGTTTTGAGAGGATTAAGCCGACAACCGATCTCACGCGACAACCACTACCATAGTCGTCACGGTTGAAATCATCGGAGTCAGGAATGCTCCCTTATCTGTGGCGAAGCCCCTATGCGTGAGTCCTGACGGCAGCGGTGACAGTGACTTCTCGAACAGCTGCATTCGTGTTCTGGAAGTGAAGGCTGATTGAGACATTCGGGGAGGCTTCTGAACTTCCATGGGAGGAGGTGCACTGTCCGACAGTCTGACCGACAAGACGATGGTCTGGTGCGTGGGTTCGGAGACCGTCGGTGTCATGGATGGAGCGATGTGAGGAGATTCGACTCCCGACAGGAGGGTGGTTTCAAGGAGGTCCATCGTCAAGATATTTCATCCAAGAGGCAGTTGATGGATACCCCAGAAAGCTCTTCGAAAGTACCTACAGCTGTGATGACATCGTAGTGATGAGTCTTTACATTTGCCAAAGAAGTAGGATTAGCTGAAGACACACGTGAATCTTGCGGGAAGCATGCGTCTAAGAAGCTTGAAAAGTTCATCTTGACCTCACTGAGGTCATTGGACATCGATTGAAGAAAGTCTGAAGACTGTTCGGGGGAGAAGAGCGCCGAAAATTGGGTCGGTGACAGACAGACATTGCGATTTTATTCTATGGGTGAATTATTATTCATTATCCATGTAACGGCGGGTGGCGAGGAGCGCGTTCAACCAGGTTCCCGAACACATATCCGGAGACAAGCTCCGAATGGAAACTGATCCGACATCTGATTTTCTCTGATTACAGGTTCGCCGTCTAGTATCCAAATTCTTGGAGAGACACCGGATCGTCTCTGCCTCATTGTGGACGTCGTAGTGCTTCCAAGAGCCATGCCTGGTTCTACGTGGGCTCAGAAACTCAGTGGCTCCACGGTGCTTTTCGTTGTGGCCCTGGTGTGCTTCATTGTTGGATGGGTTACAAACCTCAAGGCCCTCACCACTATCGCCTACATTTTGTTCATTGTCGTCGCTCTAATGGGTCTCTACGCCTTGTGTTGCACAACGAAATTCGTTAAAGGTAATTTCGGGCCACCGTTTCCGCATGCCGAGAGTAAATATGCGATCCTAAACGGTCTCTTTGAGCCTAATGATCATTCATATTCATATCTGTCTTTACTACTTACTGTTGTCGACTCGCCATCGTGTCTCGACTCCCAATCTCCATCCACTGATCGGCTACTGTCTTTCAGGAACAGTGATCGCTACTCCTGAGCACACGACTGTTGTCCACCTGCAACATCCTTCCGCACATCCCTCTATGGCACCGGTTCACTCTCCTCCAACTTCTATGCCACCGACTCACACCGCTGTGCCAGGATTTCGTCCACAATACCACCCCCAGGACCAACCGCCGCCGTACAGCGCGGCAGTCAAACAAAACTTTACTAATTGAGAAGCGTCCTCTTTGCCACAAACAAAGTCGGTGAATATCTCCGCGTATTGTAGGTGTCACCACCTACTCGAAAGCTACCTCAAATCAAATTCATGTGACCACAACTGGTATACTATATATTTTTCAAAAAGCTGTGACGCAAAGGAGAGTTCGCTCCCGGAGTCATTCCATCCCCACCCGTTCAGAGGGCCTATGAAAGACGAACGAGGATGCCGCCCGATGATCTTGAGACGAATCGAGTGCTTTTATCCTAGAGAAACTTTCCTTAACGACAGCTCTTTTTCTTTAATTTTGCTACGAATCAAATGCTGCCACGCACGGCTGCGTTGATCGCATCAGGGAGCTTCGACTGCGTCGAGTAGCCTTGATGTAGATACGTTCGATTGGGCGAGTGAGTGAGACGCTCCTCGCTTGGGAGCTGCTGTTTTTGAGCACTTGGTTATTGACACTTCGAATGGAGTCACTGTAAGCGCATGAGATTGTTACATGAATAAACCGATGCGCCACGATCTAAGTCATGCAGGTGGGGAAATTCAGTTGGAGCTTCTCCGGTAGACGTAGATTCTTTAGGCTTAAATTATGATCCCGTCCCTCGATTTCGCAATCGCCTCACAATTAGGAGTTTCCTCCGACCCTCACAGCTCGCCATCACGCTTCTATCGCCGCGAGCTATCCTGTTCCGCTTTCAATATCCACTGAGCAATCAGAGGGAATAGTGATTCAGACATTCATTAATTCAATAGGAAACAAGTTATTATTTATTCATTTGATTGTTCATCCTTGGGTCATCATTCATCATCATCAATAAATATCGACAGCGTGACAAGATTATTTACAGTTTGATGTTATATACATTGAAGTACGTTTCGCAGGAAGAAATCGAAGGCAACGCCGGCTATTGCTCTAACAAGATTTTCGACATGAGTCAGCTCGTTCGTAGGAACATTTTCAGGCGGTGTAGTCGTACGACGGGTACATGCCCCCCATGGGATAGCCGTAGCCCATGGGCAAATTCTGCTGGTAAAACTGGTACAGCGAAGGGTCGACTTTCTGCTCCCTGAACTGGGGTCCCGACAGCGGGGGCGGGGAGACCGAGGACTCCTTCGGCAGGTCATCGCAAGAAGAATATGCGGACTCGGGAGTTCGAACAGGCTGCGGGGAATTCTGAGCTCCCATGTATCCCATGTACGGAAGTTGGAAAGGATAGTTGACCTCTTTATCCTTCAGCTGGGGATAGTTGAGCGATGACGCGAAGCTCTGACCCATCGTTGTCGGAGGCGCTACGGGGGACATGGCCGGCGACGCGGGCTTCGGTTTCCGTCGAGGACGGTACTTGTACTCGGGATGGTCGCGCATGTGCTGCTCGCGAAGTCGCTTCGCTTCGTCGATGAAAGGTTTCCTCTCCTCGTTCGGGAGGGCTTTCCACTCACCGCCGAGTCTCCTCGATATCTCGCTGTTGTGCATCTTCGGGTTCTCGAGTGCGATTTTCCTGCGCTGGGCTCGGGACCAGACCATGAAGGCGTTCATGGGTCGTCGGATGTGATCGGGGCCCCGTCTGGAGGAGCCCACGAACTGGCTTGATGGAGAAGCGGTACCTGTCGTGGTACTTACTGCGGGCGACACGGGAGTGCTGTCTTCCGAGTACTCCGGCGAGTGGACAATAGCGGATGCGGTGCTGAGCAGTTCGGCTTCCGCCGGGGGATCCGAACTCTGCGTCGGAACGGGGAACTTCGGAGGCATCTTGGCGGCCATCGATTGCATGGCGTTCTGCGAACCGCTCGACGGATGGTACTGCATGACAGCGTGTTGACCCGCGGCGACAGCAGCTGCCTGGAACTGCTGCATGTGCGAAGGGTAGGCACCCATCTGTGCGTTCATCTGAGGTGCCATCTGACCGATGAAGTTCCTCTGCATGGAGTTCATAAGGCCCATGGGCATCTGCATGGATGACATCATCATGTCAGGATCGCGGCACTTGCTTCGGTGAAACGAAGAACGGAGCTTCAGAGAGCCGACAGCGGACAAAGAGTGTAACCTTTGAACTGGAGATCGGCAGAGCTCGTTCTTCGCTATATGTCCCTTTTTTGGTCTCTCCAGAACTTCTGAATGGGCGGAGTCTCGAACCTCAGTGGCCGCTCCCTACGCGAAGTCCTATTATGAATAGTTGGCCGAAGAGGCACCAGGCTCTAGCCGCGTAGAGTTGGTGCCCGACTTCTTCTGAAGCAACAGAAGAGTGGATCGTTGAACCTGTTAGGACAGAGAGTGAAGGAATGGATCCGAGTCCAAATCGAAGGGGAAACAATTTGGATGGATTCATGGATTCCCTCTCCTCAATAAATTAGAATGGCAAACGATGATCAGTCGCGCGGGATACGGAACGGGGGTTCATATCGTCGGTCGTGTTCCTCCGGACGTCCATCAACGAGGCGGTAGGGCACATTCGAGCGCTGTCCCGGATTTCTCGAATGTTGCGCATTCTGCCGACGCATATCCGGCTTTGCTCGAGCTCGCTTCCGAATGTTCGGCGCTCCTGAGAAGACGACGAAGGCGCAGAGCGCGATCTCCACTCATTGTCAGATTCCGAGGTTGATCTCCCAAAAGCAAAGCTTCGCTGCCCATCGCAACGAGATGCAGTCTTAAGAGATCTCGATCGTTCCACTGCGACGTCCAGGTTATTGGTGCCTGGCGGCGAGGAATCGGATGTAATCCTGCATGACAGGCCGAAGAAATTCTCCAGTTGTGGCGGTTTGCTGTAGGTTGATTCCGTTGAGCGGAGCGGTTAAAGCAAGACATATTACGGTTGCGTCAGGCCCTCACATCGGAAACCACTTCATTCTCCCTGGCTATTCAGGAATCTTCACATCCGTGATGGGGTTTTCAGTCTGCCTTCTTCTATCCGCCCGCTTCTCAGACGAATATCGGAGAGAGATTTCTGCGAAGGAGGGCAAATTGTCCCGCTCCGGAGCGGGTTCAATGTGTCCGCCGGTCTTGAATTTGGTCTCGTCGCATCAATTACCTAATACCCTACGAATTTGTGTCGGCTCTCGCCCATATTCTGACTCCTTGGCCGACGGCACACAATAACTCGATTAAATCTTTGAGGACATCGCATTGTATCTGAAGAGAAAGCTCCGACAATTGTATGTTTACAGGCTCTGGAGTGTGGACTCGGATCTTTATTCGCTCCACTGCCCGCTCATTGACCTCTGATAATAATGGACCAGAAGAACGCATCATTGTTGCGGAATCCTCCGTCACCTTAGTGTGTATGCAGCTTAGCTCAACGAGAATGAATTCTGATCATTGTGCGCTTTCGATCATCTAATTCTTCAGCCTCGTTCGCTCCCTTTTCCGTTGCGTTCGAAGATCGCAAAGCCCATATCGAGCTGGCCATATTAGTTATTGGGCAGACTCTAATCAAATGTCCCACTCCTGAATTGTCCGAGCTCTTCGCATGAGGATGTGATTAGATTTACCTAATTCGCCGAACGATGAACCTGTCGGAAAGTTTCCCCTGAATCCACCTGTCGGACACCGATTGCGATTCACCCATGGCGACATTAGGTCTACGGTCAGGGAACCTTCTTGGAACGGATTGCCCCGCGGTCCAGCCCGTCACACAGCGGGCAAACGGATCGACGGCCGGCCTACAGGTCGACCTTAGTCGTCGAGGAGCGCAGCCGTTTGACTGAATCGAACGGCGAGTATCTTTGAGCGAATGCTCATCCTCGTTGGAACGTCTACGGCTTTGCAGTCTGAAGGACTGGGCTGATCAGAAGAGGATTCCTTCCGCATCGTCGAGGGCAGATGTGGACAAGTCCTCACGTCCGAGCTAAATCCCGAATGAGTGTCACGATGGAGCTCCTCAGAGCTGACGCGCGCAATGAATAGTGACTGGTCAAAATCTTCAAGCGAGCCTAGTTCTGTCCAGTCAAATCCATTCTCGAAGCGTCTTTCATTCTTGATGTTTTAGTGGCTTTCGGTCACGGCTACTGTACACACATCGTACATACAACGTTCCGAAGACACTCAGCTGTCGAAGCTACGGCCACCCGGAGCAGAAGAGAGTGTCAATATTTGTTTGACAACAAAATTACACCAGCGATCCCGACTCTCAGTCAGAGTGGAGTACGAGCGACCACACAGATGGCACAAATCCGTTAACACTCTATCTTCTATGGGAACATGATAGAAGAGTGTTACCTGTCAAGACGTCTTCGAGGCGAAACTTCCGCCTAGTCAAAACAAATCTCGAAACATCGGATAGACGTCCTTAATGACACGATTGGCCGGTCTGTGACTTCTGCCGTACGGAACGGTTTCTCGCTGCGACGTCTGTTCCTAGACCGCGGTACATGCGTTCGGTTCCATGCGCCCCAGTATGCATGAGAAGATCAGAAATCCATGGCAGTTCGTTGGCTTGACCGTATCGATTTGTAAGCATCATTAGATGAAGAACCATTTCTGCCTTGATCTGCGTGTGTTAGAAATCGAACGAGTTCAGAACTATCGAGGCGTTCTCTCCGCGTAGGAACTCTTCGATGGTTCTGAGCTTCACGAATGGACTGTGTGAGCGTCCCGGCGCGTCTCCCGAGTCCAGCGAGTTTTTTTCTGCTCGTTTGAAGCCTTCAATCAATCTGACATCGAAAAGTTCGACGCAAATCGTCCGTTTTCGGCGCTCACAGGTGATAGTTCAGAATTTCTGATACGGCACCAGGACAGAGGGAACCCGCTGGGAAGAGACTCGGTCGTTTTTCTTTGAACGTAAAGTATCGAGGTAGCCGTGCTCTGCATGGACGGAATTCCGTTCCGGAATGCGAAGCTCCCACCGAACGACCATGGGCGAGATCATGTGATGATGAAAAAAGCCCTGGCGAGGACGATAGGTGGAATTCATCAGGCCGATGATGGCCTCAAACGATTTGGACCGGCACGAGGTATTGCTTTGCATGTCGCTGATATTGATACGAGGTTGATGGAATAATTGTCTCGGGGCATTCCGAATCAGTCATTATTAGCCCTCGGTCATTAAGGGGGAATTAGAGCGTATTTAACACGTGAAACTTCTCGGCAAGACAACGAGCGACTGAATGATGGCATTCGGGGAAGTTACGCCTACACGTTGACCGATCCCCAGCGGGAGCGAGATTCTATCTCGGTCGTGGTTCCGTGAGGTGACGAGCATTCTGTTTCACGAGCTCTCAGCTTAGCGTAGTTCGGTATGAGTGGAATGTGTACTCATATGTCCACATACACTCACAAGAACAACGACGCCGACCAGAGTCTTTATCATCAGAAACCATCGCGAACGGATTGTCGCCCTCGCGAGAGACGCATTAAGAGCAGCCCGTATTGAGTCACGCCGCATTCTGCGAGAGTTCGAACTCCGATGGGATTCTGAGGGGTAATCGCGTATAGGGAAATCTTCGTGAAAGCTGTTTCTAAGTTGCCAGCGTTCCATCTGAGGCTTCCGAACGGTACGATGTCCTCCAATGGAGACCGACCTGACTCTTTCGGGCCGTCGGACAATGGTCGCATATCTACGATCTCCTCGGCTCTTGTGTGACAAATTTATGGCGAGCCTTCCTCTCGATGCGATCTATTCCAGCCCGAGGGTGTGCGGACGACCATTAGTGGAGTCCAACTGAGTCGCATCTGATTGGACACGTCTTCATCGAGAGCTTCATTCCGTTTCTGCTCTCGCAGGTCGAAATTCGTGCCGGAGGAACGAAAAGCGGACTCGCTCGTCTGGCGGCTGCTCGTCTTCCTGACTGTCCGTGCAAGCGTCCATCCAACGGCGGCTCTGTCCACTTTCTTGCTCTCAGAATTGCGGACGGATATTTCTCCGATTCAGTGAACAAGACAGTCACGGACAAGTGGAACCACGGAACCTATGCACTGGGAAGCTGGCGTTTTCGTTTGCACCGGCGATCCTTATCGAGCCCGGAACCTGGAGTTTCGGGATGAGCTGCACTGACAGTTCTCTACACTGGGAGTAAACTGCTTGTAGAACTGGCAACACGGCAAAACGTGGCGGGTCGCGGGCTCGTTCTTCGCCGACGCGACCAATGATTTCTCCGGGACGTTTTCAGAAGTCGGTGCGCGATCGCGGGCCGTCCCATGGAGCTGCCTCGAACGATCAAAATCGCGAGCATCGTGTAATCTCGAAGATGCAGCGTGACATTGTTTGTGATTCGGTTCGTTAAGTTACGTTGGTCAGTCAGATCCAGGTCTCAACATCTTAAGTGAATCTTTGCCGAGGTGACGAGACTTCAATGCGACAGGGAAGCTCTATTGTCCAAGCAACAATGCCCTCCAGCAGCGCAAGTTTATTAGCACACATTCTGTTGACTGTCTGCTTTCGCGCACTGAAACTCCATCGTTACTAGCTAGTATCTCCGTGTCGGTGGTATAGCACGCTTGATTTCTACTTCACTACTTTCAGTGGAGTGAGCGGACCCGGTAGCGGTGTTCAAACGCAGTTTTATTAAACTTTACGATTGTGTGTTCAAGAAACGACTTGTTGTAAAGTCCTCGGCGGGGAC